CCAGAGTAACCTTTGACCCACCTCGTGTGGACTGACCAATGAGGAGAGGGTCTTAACTTGAGACCCTCTCTTCATTGGTCAGTCTGCATGAGACTGACTCTCAACTGACGTTCAGTCGTAGGCAGCGAAGCGTCTCTGTGCAGTGCAAAAGCCCGGGTGGACAGTTTGTTTAATAGGGTGACCATATTTCCATTTCCAAACAAGAGGACAGGGGATCTGTGCCTATGACGTCACACTATGGCAACGCCACACAAACCATGTTGGGACCCATTTTTTGTAAGAACTAAATTAATATCAGATTATGCCAATAAAAGGGCTCTAAAACAATTCATATGTAAATATTTTGCATATTTAATGCAAAATCTCATTTTTCTGCTTTAGTGCTGCGACAAGGTTTTATTAATAATAAATTATTATACCTTTTGTTTTACTACAGCATCGGTAAGCTTCCTGTGCACAGATTATTAAGGATACTTGTTTCAGCTGTGAGATTAGACGATAGGGTCAATGAAAAAATAACTAGTCCCACACTCCATGGAAACTTTCAGAGAATCCACAAATAGTGGCTTTCAAACGGTTTTGTTACTTTTAGCAAGTTTAAAGCAGCAGATGAGACAGCATGTCTGATCATTTAGTTTTTCATCTGATAATATTAGAGCATGTCAGTAATGTCTGAGGGGCTTTTATAAACACTGTATAACTAACACAACTGGAGAGGGTATGAATTACACAGAGGCTTCTGGGGAGCCCAGTTATTGGGGGGGGGGGCATTTTGCCTTGGCCCCCAAAATGTCTTGAAACGGCCCTGGATGTGTGACTGAGTTTTGAAGGTGGTCTGAATTGTATCAGATGTATAAATATGTTTTTTACTGGTAAAAACGTGTAATGGAGATAAATCTACCTACATTTTACTTTTCAACACTTTGTTTTGTTTTCTTGTTTTTATTTAACTACAGGTGCTGGCCAGTAAATTAGAATATCATCAAAAGGTTGAAAATATTTCAGTAATTCCATTCAAAACGTGAAACTTGTACATTATATTCATGCAATGCACACAGACCAATGTATTTCCAATGTTCATTACATTTAAATTTGATATTCATAAGTGACAACTAATGAAAACTCCAAATTTGGTATCTCAAAAAATTAGAATATTCTGAAAAGGCTGAATATAGAAGACACCTGCTGCCACTCTAATCAGCTGATTTACTCAAAACACCTGCAAAGGCCTTTAAAAGGTCCCTCAGTCTTGTTTTGAAGGCACCACAATCATGGGGAAGACTTCTGACTTAACAGCTGTCCAAAAGACAATCATTGACACCTTGCACAAGGAGGGCAAGACACAAAAGGTGATTGCTAAAGAAGCTGTTTGTTCGCAGAGCTCTGTGTCCAAGCACATTAACAGACAGGCGAAGGGACGGAAAAAATGTGGTAGAAAAAGTTGTACAAGCTCTAGGGATAACCGCACCCTGCAGAGAATTGTGACGACAAACCCATTCAAAAATGTGGGGGAGATCCACAAAGAGTGGACTGCAGCTGGAGTCAGCGCTTCAAGAACCACCACGAGGAGACTCATGAAAGACATGGGATTCAGGTGTCGCATTCCGTGTGTCAAGCCACTCTTGAACAAGAAACAGCGCAAGAAGCGTCTCGCCTGGGCCAAGGACAAAGAGGACTGGACTGATGCTGAGTGGTCCAAAGTTATGTTTTCTGATGAAAGCAAGTTCTGCATTTCCTTTGGAAATCAAGGACCCAGAGTCTGGAGGAAGAGCGGAGAAGCACAGAATCCACGTTGCATGAGGTCCAGTGTAAAGTTTCCACCGTCAGTGATGGTGTGGGGTGCCATGTCATCTGCCGGTGTTGGCCCACTCTGTTTCCTGAGGTCCAGGGTCAATGCAGCCGTCTACCAGGAAGTTTTAGAGCACTTCATGCTTCCTGCTGCTGACCAACTTTATGGGGATGCAGACTTCACCTTTCAACAGGACTTGGCACCTGCACACAGTGCCAAAACCACCAGCACCTGGTTCAAGGACCATGGTATCCCTGTCCTTGATTGGCCAGCAAACTCGCCTGACCTTAACCCCATAGAAAATCTATGGGGTATTGTGAAGCGGAGGATGCAATACGCTAGACCCAACAATGCAGAGGAGCTGAAGACGACTATCAGAGCAACCTGGGCTCTCATAACACCTGAGCAGTGCCACAGACTGATCGAGTCCATGCCACGCCGCATTACTGCAGTTATTGAGGCAAAAGGAGCCCCGACTAAGTATTGAGTGCTATACATGCACATTCTTTTCATGTTCATTCTTTTCAGTTGGCCAACATTAGAGAAACAAACATTTTTTCATTGGCCTTTAGAATATTCTAATTTTCTGAGATACCAGATTTGATGTTTTCATTGGTTGTCACCTATAAATATCAAAATTAAACGTAATAAACATCGGAAATACATTGGTCTGTGTGCATTGCATGAATATGATGTACAAGTTTCACGTTTTGAATGGAATTACTGAAATATTTTCAACCTTTTGATGATATTCTAATTTACTGGCCAGCACCTGTATTTTCCTGTCCTGTCTGTCTCTCATCTTCCTGCATCTCCTCTTAATTCTCCAGAAAATCTGTTGCCTGGATTCTTACCTTTTCACCTCACCAGTTACTTTTGAGCAGATCAAAGGGATCTCCTGACCGCAAAGCGCAGAGCGCGTTTTCGATGCTGCGTGAGGTGACATCACCACAGCACAGGTGATGAGCTCCGCAGTAGCGCGCTTCAGGCACAAATAAGACAGAAAATAGAGAACATGTGCAGACATGAACGATTGTGTGCTAATTATAGTTTTTTGGTTGCGCCACTTTGAGAATGGACCGTGCGCTGGAAGCAGCTGCCTGGATCGCTGCGCAACAATGCGCTGTGCCGCTCTCTGTGCGCTCTGCTCAAAAGAGTCCAAAAATGATATAAATGATATAATATAGAAAACTTTTTTCCGGCTCCCCTGATGTGTAGGATATACAGCTCCCCCATAATTCGATCCCTGCTCCTGGATGAAAAGCCGGACATTTTCATCAATACAAGAACCCGCAGTCCGGACGCCCGGACAGAGAGTGAAAAGTGGACAAGTCCGGGGAAAACGGAACGTACGGTCACCATAGTCCTCATAAAGCGGGAAATTATAGATACAGTATTTTGCTCGTGCCCTGGGCCCTTTAGAGTTCGTGGGCCCTGGGCAATTGCCCAGTTAATCCGGCCTTGGGCGGAACCGGTTCGCAGCAGCGCAAGTCTGCCAGCTCTCCCTCGCGCTGATCTGCCGGTACCGGCTCTCCCTTGCGCTGATCTGCCGGCTCTCTCTCGCGCTGATCTGCTGCTCTCCCTCGCGCTGATCTGCCGGCTCTCCCTTGCGCTGATCTGCCGGTACCGGCTCTCCCTCGCGCTGATCTGCCGGTACCGGCTCTCCCTCGCGCTGATCTGCCGGCTCTCTCTCGCGCTGATCTGCGGCTCTCCCTCGCGCTGATCTGCCGGCTGTCCCTTGCGCTGATCTGCCGGTACCGGCTCTCCCTCGCGCTGATCTGCCGGTACCGGCTCTCCCTTGCGCTGATCTGCCGGCTCTCTCTCGCGCTGATCTGCGGCTCTCCCTCGCGCTGAGCTGCCGGTACCGGCTCTCCCTTGCGCTGATCTGCCGGTACCGGCTCTCCCTCGCGCTGATCTGCCGGTACCGGCTCTCCCTCGCGCTGATCTGCCGGCTCTCTCTCGCGCTGATCTGCCGGCTCTCCCTCGCGCTGATCTGACTTGCGCTGGTCTAGAAGAGTTGTGCGACACAACGAATCGATGACGCAATTCGTTGCCAACGCTTTTAGTAATCGATTTTCATCGAATTTATCGATTTGTTGTTGCAGCCATAGTTAGCTGTTTTTTAGCCACCGGTTCTTGGTCACTGCGGCTCTGTTCGTCTCGGAGAGACTGGAATTTTTCGTGTTCGGCTTGATGCCTCTGTTTAAGATGTTGAAACAAGTTAGTGGTGCTGCTGCCTTTGACTGCGACGGGTTTTAGACAAAGGTTGCAGCGTGGGGTCTCTTGTTTTATGTCTGTTGCAGCAAACCCATACCAGTTCCAAACAACAGATGATTTTATCCCTTTCTTCAGAACAAACTTCCCACTCTCACCGCCGTCACCGGTCGCCATGTGGTCGTTTGCTGTCTGTTGTTTTGTGTGTTATCGCTCGCTCGTGGGTGAGGAACCTGATGCTACAGGACCTCCGGAGGGCCAAAAAGCGCCATTACAAAAAACTCGATTTACTTACTTTATGAATCGCCCGCAAAAAATAATTAGAATTAATTCATTTGAACGATTTTTCGCCCAGCCCTACTAGAACATTTTACTTTATTTAGAGACGTGTCATAATTTCAGAGTGCTCTTAAAGCTGCAGTTTGACTTGCTCTCATGTTTCCATAAGACCACCACCCACTCGACTAGGACATTAAATTCACTGAGCTGCATGCTGACTTAGCGACTGCTCTCTGGAGTCACATGTGGAGGCTGTAGTAAGCATTTTGTTTTTGTCTTTAGCGCTGCAGACCATTTATTGCAGCACGGATATACTGAATAGTTTCACAACTTTTAAATCAAAAAGATAATTAGTCCATCGCCATTCTCCTTCCCGGCACCTCCGTTCTGCTGACTCCAACCTCCTTTCCCCTTTCAGAACAAAACATGGCACCATGGGGGATCGAGCCTTTGCAGCCGCTGCCCCACACTTTGGAACTCTCTCCCACTAAACATCAGGAACGCCGTCTCTCTTTCTACTTTTAAGTCACTGCTTAAAACCCACTTCTTTAAATTGGCCTTCTCTTAAGATCAACCCAGCATCCCCCAGTCTGTTTACTATGTTTCATGTTGTTTTATTATGTGTTTATTGCATTTTTTGTTAAGCCTGACTGACCTAAAAGGTGCTAGACAAGTTTAATGTATTATTATTATTATTATTATTATTATTATCACTTACAACCGCAGAAGGCAAAGTGTGTCCCCACTCCCTGTTCAGCCATTTTCCTGCACCAGATCTGGCGTTTACAGATGTTTCACACCTGTGTGAATAACACAGCTGTCTAAGAGAAAAACCACTTCTCCAACTCATTTACTTATTTACATATCTGAAAGGTGGCAGCCCTACCTGTGTCCATGCTGTCCAGGTCCAGGTGGTGAAGAACACACGATGAATCAGTCCCAGCTGATGGATGATCCTGAAGTGGTAGCAGGTTTTCTTTAGCCGTGTTTAGCTAACAGCTGCAATAGAAACAAAGCAGGAGAGCTGATTAAGATGCTGCTTCAGAACAACGCAGGAGATTAAAGATCCAACGCTTTGGTTCTGATCAGCTGAGGACAGATCCAGTCTGGAAAAGAGGACCTTTGCTCACCAGAGTTCACAGAGTTCTCTTCTGTTCTTCCAGCTACAGACTAAATAGAAGATGGATGCTCTACAAAAATACTAACAACGGTTTCTCCTGTTTAGTTCTGTCTGGTGGCTCACTAAAAGTCAAATCCAGCATGGCAGCATCTCATGGAGCCAACAAGGAAAGCAAGGTGTGATATCAGCAGAGGGCTGGAAGCTGAAAAGGTAAAGAACAACACAACCTGAGGGTTCCTCGTCTCCAGCTGAGCCAAGAGCACTAAAGGGTTTCGTTTAGAGTTTACATGAAGAAGTAGTGAGTTTATTTATTTATTTATTCTTTATTTAACCAGGAAGGTCCCAATGAGATCACAAACCTTACTTTCAAGGGAGTCCTGGCCAAGAGGCAGCTCCACGGACGTGTAATGTACATGAAAACACAGGAATCCCAGCTAAATGAACTTTAGGTGTGTTTTAGCAGAATGCTATTGTGTTTTCAGTATTATTATTGATTACTAAGTCATTATATTATACATTTACTCAGTAGAATGTGTCTTTCTAAAGTTGTATTTATTTTTATTTACATGTAAATATGCATCCCTGAAAAACATCTGCTTAACGAATGCTCTGAAACATCAGCTGGCATTTCTTTTTAGCCTGTTTTGTCTATTTAATACTTGCTACTTGGTTCATTTTCATGCTGAATGCTGTTGAGTAAACTTCTGTCTGTAGCAAGGAGCTGCTGTGTGTGTGTGTGTGTGTGTGTGTGCGCGCGCGCGCACCTGTTCTATGGATCTCTTTATTAAAACTATTTAACGGTAATAACGTTTTGTTGATTTTAAACAGGGAAACCCCACTCGCGATTTAGCGATAGCATAATGCTAACTCCATTAGGCCGCTAGCGTGCTTTCCCTCACAAAGAAACGGTGTCCACTCACCAAGTGAACTGCTCCACTCACTAAAGACGGTAAATGTTCCAGATCCAACTACGTTACTGACTGTACTACCGACTACTGACTACCAAAACTCACCAAGTCCACCGAGTTATCTCAGAACAGCACAGCTTCTAGGTCGTGTCTCGACAACTACAGTTGGCTACAGCTTAGCTTAGTTGTAGCACGTGCGTGGAGTGGGCACAACAATACCATATATGGAAACGGTGCCATTGCTTTCCGGAACTGAAGGAGGCGCTAATGTCGAGCTACCGTTTTGGAAAAATCTTTATTCAAACTGTTCATGAAACAATATATAATTCTAGGTAAACTGTCGTAATTTCTATATTTCTGATTCATAAATATTTACTGTTTATTACAATATTTTTTGAACGTCGTTGTACTAAACATGACACAGTCAACAATCATTTAAAACTATAATTTTCAATAATCTTCATCAAAGAATGACTGATTCTTCACACTTTTCACATCACTTTAATTTTTTTAAATTAGTGTGGTATTTTTTAATCGCCAATGTCATTCGAAATCTCATGAGGATGATTTTTACAAATGGCCTAGTTTTATACTATTTGTAGGAAACTGTAACCATTTGAGTTTGATGAGACTATTCATAGTATTTAAAACTGATATTTAAACCTAATTCCTCCAAAGACGTAACATACGCTCTCCTAAGTGTCACCTGTGTCTCCAAATGAAATGAGTTGTCCTGATTTCAGTTTTTTTATATGTTATCATGTAACCTAATGAAAAAATTGGGTAAATGCGTGGAGAAAACTTTCCACTTTAGCAAAAAGAATAACTTCCAAAAGGATGGCTCTGTTGAACAGCTGCTGAGAACGACTTTTATGGATTTTTGTTTCATATCAATATAATTTCTAAAAACATGTGAAACTCCAAAAATTAGAATGTTGCACATTCATTTATTTTAGTAAAAGCAAAACCAATTGCAAAGTACTTATGTCTGACAATTTTCTATTTAAAAGCAGTGTTGGATGTTTTTAATGTAATATTCTAATTGTCTGAATTTTTGAATGCAGGGTTTTCATCATCTGTAAGCCATAATTATTACATTTATAACAAATAAAGGCTGAAATATCTGGCTTTGTATGGAATGAGTCTTATTACTGAAATAAATCAACTTTTTCACAATATTCTCATGTTTTGAGTTTTACCTGTAATTTGATTTTTTATTAAGTTCATTTGAGTCATTTTTATATAAACTGCAACCAATTTTTCAAGAAACTTTATTCTCAAACAGAGGAACAACAGGATATTGTTTCAAAAAAAATCAAAACAGCAGCAGTTCTTTTCAACATTACAAAAAAACACATTTGAGTGCACTTGAGTTTGCAGAAATATGAGAACACAATTAGAATATTTTAGTTATTTTTGGACAAATGTGTCAACGTTTAATTTAAATTTAATAAATATGAACTTTACTTTTTACACAACTAATAATTAAAAGCATGAACTAACCTGCAGTGCATTCCTCAACACAAGGCAAAAATGTATTGACAGTAGCAAATGATCATCACAGTTGTGGACGCCATCTTGCCAGTCTTGATCGCTACACCATGTCACAGTTGGGGCAAACTTTCCTGTATGTCGATGTACCTAAAAGGATTAAAAAAAACATGTTACAATTACATCCTAGAGCTGGAATGAATTGCAAACCTTTAACTACACCATTATGAGTCACTATTTTAGCAGTTGCAGTTATCAGCTGAGGACCAACAAGAGTGTTCTGTCCACATTGTGTGCATGTAGTCTCAGATGGAATGAGATGTGTGGGGAATCCATGAGAGTCTTGGCGTCTCTGCTGCTGGTGATCAGTGTTTTGGAAGATCGGAAGGTATTTTCTTGTGAGCAATCAAATACTTGATCATCCTTTCAGCTGCTGGATCTGGATAAAACGCTTATATTGGGTGAAATCTGCCTAGCCCTCCATCTCCTCGCATTGTTTTATTTTGAAACTTTTTTATTTTGAAAAGAGGAAAGGGGAACTCTTATCTTCCTGTTGAACCACGAGTTCTTTTGAACGGTTCAACTTTGGAAGCCATCGAGACACGACCTAGAAGCTGTGCTGTTCTGAGATAACTCGGTGGACTAGGTGAGTTTTGGTAGTCAGTAGTCGGTAGTACAGTCAGTAACGTAGTTGGATCTGGAACATTTACCGTCTTTAGTGAGTGGAGCAGTTCACTTGGTGAGTGGACACCGTTTCTTTGTGAGGGAAAGCACGCTAGCGGCCTAATGGAGTTAGCATTATGCTATCGCTAAATCGCGAGTGGGGTTTTCCCTGTTTAAAATCAACAAACTATTTTATTACCGTTAAATAGTTTTAATAAAGAGATCCATAGAACACACACACACACACACACACACACACACACACACACACACACACACACACACACACACAGCAGCTCCTTGCTACAGACAGAAGTTTACTCAACAGCATTCAGCATGAAAATGAACCAAGTAGCAAGTATTAAATAGACAAAACAGGCTAAAAAGAAATGCCAGCTGATGTTTCAGAGCATTCGTTAAGCAGATGTTTTTCAGGGATGCATATTTACATGTAAATAAAAATAAATACAACTTTAGAAAGACACATTCTACTGAGTAAATGTATAATATAATGACTTAGTAATCAATAATAATACTGAAAACACAATAGCATTCTGCTAAAACACACCTAAGTACGTGGTTGTATGATAAGTACGTTTGAGTAAACCTTTATGTCGATGGAGTAAACACGCTGGCGGAACCATTTCGATTACTTCTGTTCCGACTCGTTTCTTGTCGAATTGTCGTAAAACCGGATGTTCGACAATAAGCTGACGCGCTGGATCGTGAGGAGTAAACGTTTGGAAAATGGGGAAATGCAAATTCCAGCAAAAGTGGTTGGAAATCGACGAATTCAAGGTATGGCTGCAGCCCGTTAATGGTCAAGATGGAGAAGGATTTTGTACTGTTTGTAAAAAAACATTAAAACTTGGTACAATGGGTGTGAACGCTGTGAAATCGCACATGCAGTCGGACAACCACAAAGCAGCCGTAAAAGGCAGACAGCAGCTACCCGTGACTAGTTACTTTTCTGTAACTAGCAACGCGACGTCTTCTACAACTACCACGACCACAACAAGCAGACAACTGCAGCTGCGAACCCTGCCGTCGGAACATCAAGCACGCTTCAAAAATCGTTTGGATCACCTGCGGCGCTTCAGGCAGAGGTGCTCTGGTGTCTGAACACTGCCGTGCAGCACCACTCCTACGCATCCAATGAAGGTGTTTCGGAGTTGTTCCAGGCAATGTTTTCGGATTCTGAAATGGCTAAATCTTTCACCTGTGGAAAGGACAAGACGAGCTACGTTTTAAAGTTCGGACTCGCCCCACATGTCAAAAAAGAACTGATTTCTGCAGCTACCAACGCTGGACCATTTGTGCTGATGTTTGACGAAAGCTTCAACCAGTCCACAAACAATAAACAACTAGACGTCCATATTCGATTTTGGGAGGCTGGTGCTGTCCAGTCACGTTATCTTGGATCACAGTTTATGGGACATTCAAAGGCTAAAGATTTGCTGCACCATTTCAAAGTGAGTATGTTTGTACTTTTTGTTTATGAAGTGGTATTCCCATGAATTAAAGAGACAAGATGTGTTCATTTTTTTGAGGCTTTTTGCTTTTAGATAGTTTTAATAAGCTAATTTTGAAATTACTATAAGCACATTTCAAACCAAACATGTTGGTGTAATGTTTTCAGGTTTTCTTTTTCATATCAAATAATTAAATTTATTTTTTTGTATTCATAGGATTGTGTGTGTCTGCTAGACATGAAGAACCTCCTTTCCATCAGTATGGATGGGCCAAATGTGAACTTGAAGTTTTTAAATGATTTCCAGCAAGAGCGTGCTGAACTACATGGAGGCCGCCAATTAATTAATGTTGGAAGCTGTGGACTGCACACTCTGCACAATTCATTCAAGACTGGCTTCTCCACATGGAATATTGAGAAACTGTTAAGAGCAATGCACTTTCTTTTTCACAATGTCCCTGCAAGAAGAGAAGATTTTACTAAACTTACAGGCTCATCTCTTTTTCCACTCCCATTCTGTGGACACAGATGGGTGGAACATCTTCCTGTTGCAGAGAGAGCTGTTGAAGTATGGCCAAAGCTTAACGATTATGTGAAGGCAGTCCATAGAAAAGAACTCCCAAACCCTGGAACCTCTTCTTTTGACACTATTCAAGCAGCAAATGAAGATCCCCTGATTTCAGCCAAACTTCAGTTTTTCATGGCGATCTCCAGAACGTTTAGTCCATTTTTAAAGAATTACCAAACAGATGAGCCAGTCCTGCCATTCCTGTGCAGCGACTTGACAGAGTTGTTGATGGTAATAATCTGCTTCATTTATAGAAATTTCTCAGTTTTAAAGTGGGTAATCTACAAATATCTGTTTTCATTTGATAGTGTCTACTGAGGCGTTTCATCCAAAGGGAGCTGCTACAAGACATCACCCCCTTTCAGTTGGCCAAACTGGACACCAATGACCAGAAAAACTGGGTCAATGCGAGCCATGTTGACATAGGCTTGGGTGCTGAGTCTGCCATTAAGGTATTGTTTATTTTTTATATGTATATTTTAAAAAAAACTTAAAACAGTGCATTAATCCCCTATGTATTAATTACTCGATGCTATCCCTCCTTGGTAGGCTCTTCAAAGCAAACCTAACAACAGAGTAGGTGACCTCACTGCCCTCGAATTTAGAAAGGACTGCATAAGATGCCTCTCAAGCATTGTTAAGAAAGTGCAAGAGAAGAGCCCTTTGAAATACCCCACTGTCAGGCAGGTTGCATGCTTGGACCCCTCCATCATGAGCAGAGACCCAGAATGGTGCAAGGGAAAGATGAAGTCTCTAGTTCAGAGATTTCTGCAGGACAAGCAGTTGACAGGAGGGATTTCTGCTGGCAGGAATGTTAAAGGGAATGCTTTAAACAGGGTATCCGCGGGTCCTTAAAAAGTCTTAAAAAGTCTTAAATTAGCTTTTCCTAATTTAAGGCCTTAAAAGTCCTTAAAAATGACAAATAATCCTTAAATCCAGTTTCCAAAGGTCTTAAA